ACATTAAAGATTTTCTCAAAACAAAAAAAGTGTTCTAAACATTTCCACCACCACAAATTACCCATTCAATAATCATTCCTGGTTTCTAAAATTGTTGCAAAGTGACTGCAGGAGAGAATGGCTCAGAATAAAGACACAGGTACAAAATGGAGGCTGGAATGCCAGGCTTTTAATCTGCTTTCATTATTTCATGGGCCTAAATAAGGAGTCAGTCAGTGATTTTCAACAGAAGCACCTTTTGAGAACCTATTACATTAATATTTCCAAATATACAATACAGTACTATTAACTACAGGCACAATGTCTTGCAGCAGACCTCTGGAACCCATTTATTTGCATAGTTGAGAATGTATATTTACCAGTAGCTTCGCATTTCCTCTGTGAGAATCAATTTACCATGGGTCTTTTCTGTCAAAATATTTAACCAGTAACCTCCTCTGTTACAAAGGTTAGTCTCACTAAGTCACTTCCCATAAGCTCACTTCATGGACTCTCCTTAATGTGATACAAGTTTCTATTCAGCCAAGATGGCCTGCTGCCAATGACTGGATTAAGATAATGTGGTATTTATACACAATGTAATTTTACTCAGCCACAAAGAAGAATGAAATTTTGTCATTGGCAGGTAAATGGATGAAACTGGAGAACATCATCTTAACGAAGTTAGACAGGCTCTAGCGCCAAAATCACATGTTCTCCCACATATGCAGATTACAAACCTAAAACAAATGCAGTGATATTGGACATGGGAAACACACTAAGGGGAGACCACACACAGGAAGGAAAGGGAAAGGGAAGGAAACCAAAAACTTGAATATGATTGATGTGCTCACCATAGAAGAGAGAATACAGTAATCTTAAACTGGCACAGGACACTATGGGAAGGGGACTAAGAAATAATGAAGAAGTCTGGTAGAGATGAACCAATTTGGGTTGTAATACACCTGTGCATGGAAACAACACCAGGAACTTCCCTATATAGCTATCTTTATCACAAACTAGCAAAAATATTATGTTTTCATTATCTTTTATGTTTTTTATTCAATAAATCATAGAACAAGAGGGCAGAACAAGTTCTGCCTGGAGGCAGGGTTGAGGTGGTGTGGTCCAAATAATGTATACACACATAAGTAAATGTAAATTTTTTTTTAAAAAGTAGGTTATAAGGAAGGAATTAGATGTTAAAAAAAAAAAAGAAAAAACAAGGGATTGCAATCCTCAGCAGAGCAAGAAATCCACTAGATGCCATGTTTTCAGAGCTGATAACCAAAAACAGCTGTCGCTTCTCTGAACTTGTAAACTTCTTTGTTCCCAAAATCCTCTCCTAACCGACCGCTTTCTAATTAGCCACTCATGGTAGACTGTGAACCCAAAACCTGTCTAATCCAGGGATAGGAGAGGGACAGTATGTCTTCAGATAAAACCCCTGCAGTGTACATACCTCCCAGATTTCCTGACATGGCACACATTGCAGAAATAAATTGTGCCTTGCCTATTGACTTCTGAGTAGTGTCATCTTTCTTGCAATATCTTAAAGATAGTTCCAACACTTCATCTCCAACTTTTGCAACCACCACTCCAATATCTGATTATATAAGCGTGACTCTTTTGTGCACCTCATGAAAACTGTCACGCAAAATTTGTCCATCCATGACTGGTTTAAGTTTTCCTCATGATTTTCAAGTTCATACACGTAATTTAATATTAGAGGATATAGTTTTTTAAGTTTGACTAATATCCCAGTGTATTATTTATGCATTCATAAATGCATGGCTATTTTGCTTGTTTCCACATCTTGGCTATTTTGAGTTCTGCTGCAATGACCACAGGAAGACCAGTATGTCTCAGATATGCTAATGCCATTATTTTAAAATTAAACCCACAGTGGAGTGGCTGGTTACTCCAATAAATTGATAAATTCTAATTTAAATGTAAATTCTCCCTGACAGTGTACAACCTCCAACCATTTCACTAAGTCTTCCAATGCTGTTTGGTTAATCAACAGATTGCTTGACACCTCCTCAGGGAGAATCTCTAAAGTTAAAAAACATTTATAAATTGTCCTCAAACACACAATGGTAAGAAACTCACTGAGAATCAAGAGAGGTTGGTAACAAAAGCAGAAGTATTCCTGTAGTCCTACAGCCTGAACAGCTGTGGGAACGTTCTCCTTTATTCTTCACATAAATAAATAATTATTGAATAATTTCTACTAAGGTGAGAGGTTTAAGGCTATTAAGTGTCCTTGAAAAACTATGTTATATTTATGCTTAGAAAATATTTGAATTCTCAAACATACTGTTTTATATCTACTATAGGTGGTAAAACATGAAAGGACATGGATTCATTTTAAAGAAGAAATTGAAAGAAAAGTGATTTGACTCTCTTGTTTCTACTTCCTCCCAAATACTTATATAATTATAGGATCTAGGTACTTTTATGACCCAATTATTTATTATCAAATAAGTATAACACTGAAATTCACTCTTGATCTGCTGATAAGGAAAAGGAGGGTTTCACTTCATATTGAAATATGGAAAGATTTGTGTGTGTATGTGGGTGTGTGTGTGCAAGAGAGAGAGAAACAGAGAGACAGAGACAGAGAAATAGAGACAGGGACAGAGAAAGGGGGAATGAGAGGAGGAGAGAGAAGACTTTTAAGTACAAACTTAAATGGTGATGGTAATATATTCCTATTATAGTAAGATCTGATAAAATTTTTTAGAATGTTACCTTTAAAAAACTCAGAGTAGGTCTGGCAGAGTGGCTCAAGTGTGAAAGTGTCTGCTTAGCAAGTGTGAGGCCTTGCGTTCAAATGCAAGTACCACGAAAAAAAAATCAGAGTATTCAGTAATGAAAGTAAATATGAAAAGACATTTTGTTTTCTATTGGTGAACTACACAACTGCTGAGAAGAACCTTTATCATTCATTGCCTTAAAATATTAATATACACATATACATTTTATTTTGTAATACTTCATGGTTGCAAAACAAAACCACAACAAACAGGATTTAAAATTTTCTGATTGCTTTTAATGAGGATATTTATCTGAAGTTTTAAGCTAATATGCTTTGCTGTATTTAATATAAACAAGATGTTTGACTAAGACAGGGTAGGATATCAGCAACAACGATACAGACAACATTTTATGTGAGTTAAATGTAACTAACATGTAATCAGCACCATATATAATATGGTAAAATCGCATAGTTTCATATATTTGCTTGTAATTCAGGTACAGGTTTTGTCCTTACATTTTCCTTATCAGAATGTGTCATTTCTATTTTTTTAATTTAAAAAGAACTGCTGATTATAACTTCACAGTAGTAAAATTATCATACCTTAAGTTGCTATTTATCTGCTTCTCTGCTGTACTTATTAATCTTAGGGTTATTATAAGCACTTAGATATATGTTGTTTAGCTATATATGTGCTGGTTAATATGCTACACCGTATTTAGAAAAAGTTCTTCTGGCACATTGCACAGGCTTCCAAAATATATGCAAGAATCCACAGCAGTAGGCCATTGAGTATCTAAATTTATTTATGGAATTGGAGGTACAGTGAGGTAGAGATGGGGAAAGTTTGCATGCATTATTTCCTAATTCTTCATCTATTCATCATTTTAGCCCTGACAAAGAAGTTAAGATGCTGTGCAAAAGCATGTACATATGCATATATAAAGAAAAGCTCTTGCAGGTAGGCCATTGTTGCTATTTAAAAAATAAAATATGCTAGTTGTCTATGTCTCACACCTGTGTCTTAGCAACTCAAGAAGCAAAGATCAGGAGAATCATGGTTCAAAGTCAGCAAGGCAAACAGTTCACAAAACTCTGTCTCAAAAAATGCCCGACCCATAAAAGGACTGGCGGAGTATCTCAAGTAGTAGAGTGCCTGCCTAGAAAGCCTGAGTTGGACCAAGCTGGGCTACCTAGTAAGTTCTAAGATAGTCAGGGCCTCAGAGATAGACTCTGTCTCAATAAACTAGGGCATGTGAGTAGAGTGCTTCCGTAACACCCATGACCTAGATTGGATCCCTAGAACTGTCAATCAACACTAAATAAATAAATTAAACAAACAAACAAAGAAATAAAACACACATACAAGCATGCTCTGACAATTTGCAGATAAAATGGAAACACTGAATTAAAAAGTACAATATTTTTGTCTTTCTGTGGGAATAGATTTAGAAAAATTAAGCCAGGTTATTAGTGAATTAATCTGCACTCATTTAATATACATATCTCGGGTTTCTTTCTTCATTTAAAGACAATGTTAGTGTGACTCTTATAGTTTTTTTTAATTTATACATGTATCCAATACTTGCCATGTATGTTAACAATTTTGGCAATTCCATCTGAATTATAAGAAATTTGTAGGCATATACTTTCCAGAGTTTTGGATGTATTGTTGGTATTTGTCATTAGAAAACCTTATGTATTTGAAAATGTATCATTTAATAGTATTAAATGCAATTATTACCAAAGTTAAATTGTAATGATGTGAGAACAACTAGAACATTTAAAGAACAGCACAAAAATTTATCTGACATGAAAATTTTAATAATATTTAAACATTTTCCAGTTTGGTTTTATGTACCTATATATATTCACATCTCAATGTATTATATCTTTCTTCTTTCTTCCTTCCTTCATCCCTCCCTCCTTCTTCCTTCTTTTCTTTCCTTCCTTCCTTCCTTCTTTCTTTCTTCTTCCTTCCTTTCTTCTTTCTTCCTCCCATCTCTCTTCCCCCTCCCTCCCTCCTCCATCCCTCCCTCCCTCTCTCTCCCCTCCTTCTTGCTTTCTTACTTTCATTTACCTGACAGAATTCTTAACTGTGGAACAGGTTATTGGTGTGGATATTGTTTGGAGTTAGACATTGGACATAGTAGAGTATTTACCAGTTTAACTGGCATGTTATTATTCTTCAAGTGATAATATTGAAAGCTAATTAGTGCACTGATGTCTCGATCCAGAATAGGTTTTCTGATAAATCCAGATGGAGCAGCACAATCTCACAGTGGTGAGTGAATTCATTCTGATGGGCATCACAGATCGTCCTGAGCTTCAGGCTCCATTATTTGGGCTGTTCCTCATCATCTACATAAGCTCAACAGTGGGCAACTTGGGCATGATTTTCCTCAGTAAGGTGGATGACAGGCTGCAGACTCCAATGTACTTTTTTCTCAGACATCTGGCTTTCACAGATCTTGGTTATTCTACAGCTGTGGGGCCAAAAATGTTGGTAAATTTTTTTGTAGATCAAAACACAATCTCCTATCATTTTTGTGCTACCCAGCTAGCTTTCTTCCTTCTGCTAATTGGAAGTGAACTATTTATTCTTTCTGCGATGTCCTATGACCGCTATGTGGCCATCTGTAACCCACTACTCTACACAGTCATCATGTCACAAAAAGTATGTTGGGTACTGGTGGCAATTCCCTATCTCTACTGCACATTTATGTCTCTTCTAGTCACCATAAAGATTTTTACTTTGTCCTTCTGTGGCTACAATGTCATCAATCATTTCTTCTGTGACTGTACCCCCTTGTTATCTTTGCTTTGCTCAGATACACATGAAATTGAATTGATAATTATGATGTTTGCAGCTTTTGATTTGATTTCTTCTCTTCTGTTCATCCTTGTTTCCTACCTGCTAATCCTCATAGCTATCCTCAGGATGAACTCTGCAGAAGGCAGACGTAAGGCTTTCTCTACCTGTGGATCCCACTTAACAGTGGTCATCATATTTTATGGGACCTTGATGTTTATGTATGTGCAACCCAAATCTAGCCATTCCATTGATACTGATAAATTGTCATCCATATTTTATACCTTGATTATTCCAATGTTGAATCCTATGATTTATAGTCTGAGGAACAAAGATGTAAAATATGCAATACAAAGGACATGGAAAAAAGTAGGCAATGTCTTCTCTTAAAAGTTACATATATTATGAGTTCTTTGAATCAGTTTGGAATGTGAGCCTGATGTTTCCACCAGAATGTAAGCAAGTAACAATGGGCATAACATGTCTTAAACCAGTGGCATTCTTGATACTAATCAATATTACAAATGCTATAAATACATTTGTGTTCAAAAGAGTGAACTTTTTCTCTCCTTGAGGAAGGGAGTTAGTATGTAAATAGAATTATTGAAAAAAATCAATTGCAAAGTAGAACATGTTTAGGTTTTATGAATTGTGAGATCAGGTAACAGAGTCATATGCTGTAAAGCAGTGAAAAAGAATAGTATACATGAAAGAAAACTTAAAATATTCTTTTTGGCATTCTCTATTATTAAAATAAACTTCCTAGGTGTCATGTTTGCTTTTGTATGTGTTTCTTTTGTGTGTGTGTGTGGAAATACAGTCTTTCTGTTTTAGGCTTCATAGACTTGAATAGATTATATTAAAATGAACCTTGACTGAGGTGTCAGGAGGCTCATTGTAGATTGATGAATTGAAGGAATCTGTCACATGAATGTGCTCAAATGCTCCCATTGCCCTTGAGGATTTTAGGCTCCTTTTTTTCCTCATCAGTGCTCTTTCTTTCACACAGGAAATTAAATTACCTGAACATATTTGTCCTAACCACAACTTATAACTTCAAGTCAGCATGCATGTAACTTTCCTTAATTAATTTTTGTTCATACAATGCATACATTAATTAAGACAATGTTCTTACATTGCGACATAGAGGATTTGGTGGGTTTTTTTCCTTCGCCCTTACTGGCTTCATCTTGATTGCTTGCTATTTGTTTTGAGCTAATGGTCATTATTCTACTTATCACTCTAAATGCAAAAATAAATAATTCTCATTTTTAAGACATAATCTATTTGTTTTTTAACTATTGTGCAAGATGCCTACTCTTTTTCTCCTTTTTTGGACTGAGTTTCCTAATATATACACATAGTATACTTTCATTTTGATAGAATCTGTTATTTGATTGCACCATTTTCATTTTCCAATTTGTAGGAAGCAAACAGAGGTCATTCTGTAATTTGAGCAATTCTGTGTTTCTAGTTAGTGTAGCACACATAGTATTGATTTATAAACTTTCCATGTCTTGTATAAATTTGTCCTCTATAACACCCTCTAAAATTTTCCATGTATTTGCATTATTTTCAATATTTTAAATTCTGACATTTTATTATATAAGATAAAGATTAATGAGGTAATAAAATTATTTGTATAGCAAATAGTATATGAGTAAGAATAATTTATAGGAATATTAAAAGCATGTTTATAATTTCATTTGTAGATAAACATTACTAAGGACTTTATAGAGTTTATTTTTGATATGTAGTGACAATGTTACATTCCTAATTTTAAACTATTCTTTATTCATATCTATATGTAAGGAACTAGTTCCATTTTCTATAAAGTATCTGTGGAACAGATGTAAAGTGAAATGTTAATATTGGTTTTATTGGGCACGTGATTATAAAAATGTTTAAATTAATGTAATTAAATTATTGTATTTGTTTCACGAATTAACTTCCTTGAATAATTGTAGCTTCATAGTAAAGGTAAATATTTTAAATTAATTTTAAAACTATGACTAAATGAAACATTATATCCCAGTTCTGAAGTTAATCTTGGTTAATCTGATAGTCTTTCTGATGATAAAAATTGCAATATCATTTCCTGGTTTTTCATATTTGATAGCATATTGAAGTTATATCAAATGTTATTCTCATTTTTTTTATTCATAGACATACTGGGTTTTTTTTAAATTTTACATTTCTACTGTGGTATGTATATATTATGTAAAGCAAGAGTTGTCATATGATTTCAGTGTTTGTTAAAATATTCTGAATCAGTAGAATTTCATATTTTACAGGATAATGATTCAAAAACTTCAATAATATTTAGAATAATAACAATACATAAATTGTTGGACACTCAGAATATCTGTACAAACCTGGTTGTGGTGTATTTCAATTTTCACTTTCACATACACTAAGAAACACACCCCCCAAAACAAAACAAACTAAAAAACCTCATAGTGAAGTGGATCACAAAATGAAATTTGAATTAAAAATAACTCCTGACCTCACCTCAAAATCAGGTCTAGGTAACTTGATTGGTGAATTCCTTTTTTACAAAATAGGGAAATTGAAGTAACCATTCTCCAAAAACCTCTGCAAAATTTTAAAGAGAAAGTGTATTTTCCAACTTTTTAAGGAGCACACCCCTGAAATTAAAAGTATATAAGGTCAACATGCAGGTGAAAATACTAACAAAATATTGCCTGATAAATCATTCAACATGTACAAAGTTTATATACCATTGTAGCTTTAAACAAGAAAGTTATGTGTGATTTAACACAAAAAATTATAATTGCATTTACCATATTAAGAAACTGAAAAAAAACAACAGCAAATGGAATCTCAATAAAGGCAAATAAAAAATTTAAGTATGTGTTAATAAAAATGACTTAGTATACTTATCAAAGTGGAACTTCCAAAGGAAGATAGGGTTCTCACTATTTCCTTTTATACTTCATTTTGGTTTATATATTTTTCTGAAATTGTTTGACTAATAAGTTCTCTCAAAGTGCCTTATTCTTTAATTCCAACAGGAAAATCTCTTCATAAAGCAGAATTCAACCAAAGAATATTTTCCCTAAATTTAGATTGCTAATTTTAAGTACAATCCCCAAAGTTTATACACAGAATATGGCTGCCCAATGTATCTTGCTACCACAATCTCTATTTTTTATTGGAAATATCACTTCAGTACTGTTCACATGGCTTTTCCATGCAATGTCTAAACTTAATCATAGTCACTGGCATCATATCTGATATAACTATCAGTCATATCTTAGACTCACAAAGACTGTACATATTTGTGAATGTGTGTGTATGCGTGTATGTTTATGACTCATCATGGAAAAGATACTTTACACACCTGAAACTCACAAAGATTGATAGTTTCCTAAAAGATTTTGACATCTACACAATAAAGACAATCATAAATATAATGAAAGAAACAAGCTACAGACCAAAGAAAATAGATAAAAACAATGTATCTGTGCAATTAATAATAGGACTAAAATCCATAGAAAAAGAAACAATGTATATACAAAAAATACAAAATTAGAAATATCTTTGTCCTATGCATATACTTTAATGTTATCTGAAAGATGTAAGTGTGAATTTATAAAATAAATCTTACCAACTCAGAAAATTTTTCAAAAGTTTGAAAGTATAGTTATACCAAGTAATGGTGAAGTGATGTTTTATGATAAAACATTCAACATTTTTTCTTCTGGTTTGTGAAAAATACATTATTTCTATATAGAATCACCCTACTGTGCAATAAAACAATAAAAAATCTTATTCCTGTGTTGGCATGGTGGCTCACACCTGTGTTCTCAGCTACTTGAGAGGTACATATCAGGAAAATTGCAGTTCAATGCAGCCATGCAAAAATTTAGGGATACCCATCCCAACCAATAAACTGGGTATAGGCGGTGCATTCCTAATATTCCAGTTATGTGGAAGGCATAAATAGGTGCATCTTGATCCCAGGCCAGCCCCTGGCCAAATGAGAGATTTTATTCCAAAAATAACCAAAGCAAAAAAGGGTTGGGGCATTTTTCAAGAGGTAGAGTGCCTAGCAAGCAGGAGACTCTCAGCTAAAACCATAGTACCACCAAAAAATAAAGTTGTTATGCCTGTCTAGGTGTTAGTAGTGCACATTGATCAACATTTCCCCAATGATATTTTCCTCTATTCTTCCAGTCCCTAATAACCACCATTTTACTCTCAACTTTAATGATATTTTTTAATTAGTGTTTATTAATTATGCAAAGAGTTTCCATTGTGTTATTTCCATACAGGAATATAATATACTTTGATCATATTCACTCTTCTATTACTCCTTCTTATCCTTTACCTCCCTTTTAGAAACACTTTAATAGGTTTCATTATTCTATTTTCAAATGCATCATTTTATTTATCACATACATGGGAGAAAATATGGCACTTGATATTATACATCCTGATTTATTTCAAAGAACACAATGATCTTGACATCCACCTATATTGTCATAAATGACAAGATTCCATTCCATTTTAAGGCTAAATGTGTGTATCTAGCGTATTTTCTTATGCATCCATCAGTGAATGGAGATTTTGGTTATTTCCTTTTCAAGTCTATTGTGAAAAGCATCGTAATGAACACAGCAACAGAAAAGTCTATTGAAATTATGGATTTAAATTAACTGGATATATTCTTAGTATAGAATAGTCAGATCAAATGATAGATGTCTTTTTAAATTTTAGGAAACCCAGGCTTTTTTCATAATGGTTTTACTAGTTTACATGCTCACCAACAGTATGTAAGGGGTCTCTTTTCTCCACATCTTTGCCAACTCTTGTAATCCTCAGGTCTTTCTGATAGTAGCTATTCCTACTGACTGTGATATGTTTCCATATTTTGACACTTCTGTTTGTCATTATTGTGTTGTTGTTTTCATTGTAGATATTTTCACTTGGTTGATAGAGTTTATTCCTAGATAATTATTTTCTTTTTCTAGTTAAGTTTGTTCTTAGGCAATTTTTGTGGTTTTCCTAATTGGACTGCTTTCTTGATTTCAATTTCAGATGGCTTGCTATTGGTATATACCAAAGATCCTGAATTTATATGTTGATTTTGTACTCTGCCAGTTTGTTGAATTTAATTATTAATTCTAATAGTAACTTCATGGAGTTGTTGGGATTTTTCTATGTAAAGATCATGTCATATCAACAGTGATAATTTGATTTCCTTTTTTACAATTTGGATTCCCTTCACTTTTTTGCCTTGTGTATTTACTTGTTTGACTTCCTGAACTATGTTGACAGGATGAAGTGAACATCCTTATTTTTTCAGATCATGGAGAGGAAGATTTCAACACATCTGCTTTATTGTTGTGTTATCTATTAGCTTA